CAAACTCGACTCGAATTTCAACCCGACCTGTTACAAATTAACCCGACCCGAATCAACCCAACTTGTTATTGACCCGACCCAAATTCAACCCGACTTGTTATTGAATCAATATGTATAGGTCGTTATCTCATGTTGGTATTGGAACAGAAATTGAATCCTAACTCTATTCCTTGAATATTTCACTTTGAATTTTAAGAGGTTAGTTTCACAACATGTTTTTAGGGACGAAACATGTTTTCCACAAATTATTGACTTGAACCGAACCCGACTCAAACCCGAGAATGACCTGGACTTGGAAATGACCCGACTTGATTATAACCCGCAAATTATTGACTTGAACCGAACCCGACTTGAACCCGAGAATGACCCAACCTGATTATAACCCGTAAATAATTGACTTGAACTTAACCCAACACGAACCCAACTCGAACCCGAGAACGGCCCTAACTCGTTTAAACCCGTAAAGACCCGAATTCAACCCGACCTATTTTTCACCCGACCCGAATGTAACACGATCTGTTACTAACCCGACCTAAACCCGACTCAAACTTGATAAGATGTATGACCCGACTCAAGCATGACCCAACCCGAACCCGACCTGCATATGTTATAACATTAACTCGTATTGACCGGACCCGAGATGACCCGACTCACACTAACCCGACTCAAACCCGACCCGTTTACCCGAATTGACAGCTCTAGTTTTGAGTAACAATTACCATTACTTATTACTTAGGGGTATGTATTGGTTTTACGATTCACCTATTTGTTATCTCTATAAAACTTAGGTTACAATTATCCTTATCTCCTTAGACTAAAAGAAATGGAGTTAAAATCAAGTGATTTATTTTCATATATGATTTAATTAAACAGATAAAAGGTAAAAGATAAAAGATTCCTTCCCCCTTAAAAGGAATGCAACTCTTTCTAATTATTTCCGTGTATGACTTGGGTTGACACCCCCAACAAAACGTACATTATTGTACATACCCTAAATAAGGTTGTGTATGAGAAATTAAAAGTTGATGTATCAAACACATAATAAAATTGAATAGTGTGACATTATACATGTTGAGAACTCTCAATCTAGCACCATCATAATGATGAGATATACTTATATGTACATGTGAATAGAGTTTGGACATGAGTCATACCTACAATCACGACTCGTGAAGAGCTAGCCATTAATAAATCTAGCACAACAAGATATGGTGCGCCCGTTCACGAACCATAGTGGCGAAGGAAAGCTTGTAGCAAACTCTTTTGCCAAAAAAAAAAAAAAAAAAGAAAAAAAAGTAAGAGAGCTCAATTAAGGGAGATTGATTTTTTTTTTTTTTTTTGAGAGAAATTAAGGGAGATTGATGACATAACACATAACCACATTCTTGAAAATTCCAACCAGGCCCCTAGGTACCCTAGCTCTCTAGGCTCTTGCAATCTAGGTTATGCTTTACAAAAACCCTACTCACTTATTTTATAACACTTTGAATATAAAGTTGAATCTTAAAAAATTAAAAATTAAAAAAAAAAAAAAAAGTAAAGAGGATAGGATAAATATGCAAGTAGGTCAAGGTGTCATATGGCTTCTAATTAGCTAGATCCTAACCTACTAAGTACTCTATTAATTGTTAATTTAACTATCAAGTTGTAGACCAATATATTATTACGTAGTTGCTAAGACGGCGATGGAAGCGCACAACAGTTCATATATGAATGTCAGCAGCTCCAACTGAGATGTCACTACAAATTTTAATTTCCAAAGCCATAACCAACCTTTTTTTTTTTTCTTTTACATATTTTATGAGATTTTGCTAATTTGTTTCGTTAAGCTGACATGCGTACATGTCAACTAGAATCATGAGCTAGTGGTGTATGATTTCATACGGCCGCCTATGTTTGTTTAATTAAGTGGGGCTAAATGGCTAACTGTTAGTGTAGGTATGCACGTATTGATATTCTTTCATTCTAAATTGATATTATAGAGTTATGTAGCTTTTGGTCATGAGGAGTTTTTTATTTTTTATTTACTTATAATTTGATGGCTCGTAAGAAGTTTGAAAAAAAAGGGGGGGGGGAGAGGTAGTGAACTAGTGACATACTGATAGCAACCAGCTATTCGGCTATTCCTGCTAAGAGTACATGAAAAATGAGAATCTCTATATTCGAGTTTAGGTTGCCAAACTTTTGAAATAATAGCTTAGGGTTGGTTTGGCATCGCTGTGGTTTTCTGTTTTTTGGTTTTTTGTTATTTAAAAGTATATTATATACGTCACATAATGAATCAAAAAATATTTAGACTTATTGAAAGCATGATAATTTTGAAAACTGACAACTGAAAAGTGGAAACACCTTTTTTTTGTTTCCTGTTTTTGGGTTTTTAGTTTTCAAAAAAACAGGAAACTGAAAACCAAAAATAATGTCAAACAAGCCCTTAGCTATTGGTGCTAAGAGCTAGTGATGAGTCATAATAGCAATGTGTTTGTGGGTTGTGAAAGGTGTGACACATGTCTAGTCGTTCAAAACTTAAAATTAGTTTTATAAGAGAAAAAAAGATTTAGAGACGTTGAATAAGAGATACTCCCTCTGTTTCATAATGTTAGTTTCATGTGTAATTAATCACATAAAATAAGAAAAGAAGAATATTTGAAATCTGACATTAAATTACAAAATAATTCATAATTAGTTTACCTTATAAGTTTTTTTTTTTTAGAAAGCATAAGTCATAATTACAAAATTATGGGACTAACATTATGAAACGGTAAATTAATACTTCCTTATAAGGTTTTTTTTTTTAATTTTTTAGAATTCCTTAATTAGAGTCATGTCATCAATTCACAACCAATAATTCCAAAAAAAATTAATTTAAAAATAGAACATAATCAATATGGGTATATATTTTTGAAACGCCCAAAATATTATATGGGACTAATATTATGAAATGGTTGGAGTAATGCCTTCACAAATATTTAGTCAAATGCTCTCGTAATTATTGGAGGGAGATGATGATGCGGAATAGAAGAAAGACTAAGCTAAGAGCCTCGAAAAAGAAAGATTTTCCTTACTAATGCCCCAAGATATGTGATTTCTACTGATTTCCCTAAAATAAAATTAGTTTATTTGTCATTTTGTTGTAAACTTGTAATGGACTACAATGAATACATGATCCCGAATAGAGCTGTCAAAAATCAATCCGAACTAGTGAATCCAAATCGTTTCAAACTGTTTTGAAAAGGAATTCAACCGATAAAAACCTGTTATTTTAAAACCGTAAACCGACCTGACCTGATTTTTCAAAACCTGAAACTGAACCGATCCGAATGTTTGAGAACCGTTAATGATGCGTACCCGTTATCAAGCCAAACTGATACAACCCGAAACCGAGAACAAACCGAACCGAGTACTTCCGAACCCGGTAGCAACCCGACCCATTGTAAACTGAAACCGTTTAAACCCGACAAAAATCCGATAAACCCAAATCGCTTACAACCTGTAGCTAGTTAGGACCGAACCGTTTATAACCCGTAATAAATTATGACCGAAAAGTTTACAACCCGTAACCGGTTATAACCAAACCGTTTATAACCCGTAAGTTCATAACCTGTTATGACCGTAGAGTTTTTTTTTTTTTTTTTATAGTAAAACAAAAGGGTTTAATTTGAAATACGAAGTATTTATATTGAATAGGTTTGGAAGTTTGATGTCAATGAAACTTTTATGCTAAAATATTATCGTCCTTTTATGAGTAATGGCTTATGGAATACTAAAATGTATTAAAAAAATTTGAATCGAAAGGTAAATCTAGATTTGTTATTATCATTTGATCCTGAAAATCATTATACAAAAAAAGGACATAAAGCAAAACAACTAATTAATTCTCCGTATGATCTACTGGAATAACTAATTAAAGAATGTTGAGGGTATACCAGAAAATATACGTTAACGAAACCCTTTTAAAACTGGCAAAATAAGTTGTCAAACCAACGGAGTTCAACTCGAACTGATTATGACCTGAACCGATTACAACCCGACCCGATTAGGACCCGATATGTTTTACCCAAAACCCGATTTAAACTGATAAACCCCGTTTTTAAACCGACTGAATTTAACCCAAACCGATTATGACCCGAACCAATTATAACCCGACCGGATTAGAATCCGACCCGAAAGAAACTGTGATAAAAATTAACCAAACCAATACGACCCGAAATTATTTAAAACCAAACCGAACTGACCCGATAATAATTTCAACCCGTTACAAACCGAAAATCGATAAATCGAACCCAAAACCCGATTAACACCCCTAAAGATATGAAAGACATACGAGTACCAAACAAAAGCTGATAATTTAAGAAATGTATAACAACAAAACCAAATTAACCAACGTATATGTGGAGGGAAATTCTGGAAGGAAGTTTTCAATGAAAAAGTTAACATTTCTTGGATCTTTAATGTCCTTAAATTTTAATTTTCAATTTAATTAGCCAGTTTTGGGAGCTTGGAATCCTTTTTTTTTTTTTTTTTAATAATTTGTAACCAAAGAAATAATGTTTCTAATAATTTTCTTTTACAAAGCCTTTTGTAAAACATTTATTACAATTTACTTAGCCTTGCGTTAGTACTGTAGCTTACCAGCCAACGCAATATCAGTAATCAGTAATTCAGTATATCACCTCAACATGGAACGAAATTTAGTTATCACACCCCGTATATCAACAAGATTTTACTCATCGATATGTACAACTGAACAAACTAGCTGAGGGAGAGCACAAACTTCTTGCCTAGACAAACTAGCTGAGGACTGAGAGCGCACAAACTTTATGTACCACCACTTCAATCTTCAAAGCTGTTTTAACTTATAAAGCATCACTAACCATATTAGCCATCAAAATATCACTTCCCAGTTCCAACTTCAATACAAATTGGCCAATACAAATCCATCCAAAATGCCTAAACAATTAATGTTATTAATCTACTTAATGCAATTGTCCTGCTCTCCTGAATAAACAAATCCTTGCCAATATCGTGTAATAGCTCCCTCTTTTGCTCATGATATACAATGATTTTTTACGAAATACTAGCCATCTCTAAACAATGAGGTAGGATGTCACGAAAACAAATCCATAGATGATAGGTTCATAGCAGTATATCAATTATAGCTCAAACATTGGAACAGAACATTGGAGTCAAAAATGTGAGCCAGAGTTTAGCTAGAGGCGATTTAAATATGAAAGTATCATGCTACAAATTCCAAAACGTTTGGGGGCCAAATCATCAAAACGTAAAAATAAACTCTCAACTCTGATATTCTACAGCTCCTTTCCAGCTCTGATAACTCTCAACTCTGATAACTTAAGCAGCTGACTTGCCCTTCTTCTTCTGGATTTTCTTCATGTAGAATTCCAGCTCCTTTCCTTCCAAAATATATCTGCCATAGACAAAAGATAAGCTCTATTCATGAGTTTCCAAAAGGTAAATTGCCTATATTAAATATACAGCTAGAATAAAGATTAGCTATATATGCAAATTCAGATCAAATATGACACAAGGACATGGTTAAAGCATTTTCTAAGGGAGTCATTTCATCAGACAGTAATCTAGCTAGACCTTTCAGAATAGAAATAATATGCCTCAGATCAGACTCTCAAAGCATTTTCTAAGGGATTTAACAAATCAAGGCTTGACCCTAGCAAAATAGAGATATCCCTATTATCTCTTAGGTCTATCCATACAGATTGGCAGGTGGTTTCAATGCTTCTACATATAATGAAACAATGGTTTAGTAGTAGATTACCCATCAGCACGACCACATTGACCAGGGCGGGAAGAAATGCAGGCCAACAAACGACCACCACCGAATTGTTCTTCGATGTGAGAGTCTAATGTGCGAGTCTGCTGACGCTTCTCAAGCTTTCTTGCAACGTGGTTGCTCTTTTTTGTTTCTTCTGTGGTCTCACCCTCCTGTAAACAGGAAAAGAAAAACATTAAACACACCAAATTTATCACCAAACTAACCAAGTAATCATTACTATATACACTTGCACAAACAAAATGCTTCAACTATCAAACAAGGAAAAAATACATTCATGCTAGAAATGAAATTCAAAAGAATAATAAAAATAAAAAGCATCTAAATCACGCGATAAATAACATCATTTCAAAAAACTTGTATATAAATCACATGAAAGTGGAAACAAGGATTATATACATTCGGTGCAAAGAGGCGTTATTTCATAAAGGCAAACCCTTGTAAAATCACCAAAACTTTACTACAGCAATAAATCACAGTTTCTTGTACATAAAATGTCAGAATAAGTTCTCACAGAAAGATAAAAGGCTGATAGAATTCAACTGGGGATCAGAACATAAAACAAATGTAGCATTCACTAGGCAAAAAAATCACAAAATGAGTTAGAATAACCTTGGGACTCGAACAATCAGTAGAGCAAATGAGGCCTGGTAATGATCTACTAGGAAAGGGAAAATAGAAATACCTCTGTTTCTTTCTTGGCAGCAGCAGCAGCCTTCTTCTTACGTCCAATTTCAACTCCGTAGTGCTGGAGATACCACTGCTTAAATGGTGCAGCATCAACCTGGACAATGGCACTCTTCACCAAAGTCTGTGTCCTAACCAACTCGTTGTTGGAAGCATTGTAAACAACATCCAGAAGACGGGTCTTGCGAGTGACAGCCTCACTACCCCATGAAAAGTTACCAGTATCCAACCTCAGTGCACGCCACTTGACATTACCACCACGAACCCTAACCCTCCTAACAGTCTTGTTGCTTGACAGCTTAGTGTTAGCTGGCTGTCTCCCGAGCTCGTACCTTTTACACGATAAGGCAAATCATATAAATCATAAGCAGAAGATATATATGGGATGCAACAATTTAGAAACATATCAGCCACAATCAACAAAAAAACAGAAATAAAACACACACCAAAGTATCAATTGCCAACACTATGAGACACAAACATAAAACAATTAAAAGAAGAGTGACAATGCAAGTAATAAATCGTATGAAGTATATCATATAACTTAAGAGTGAGACAGGACAGGGCAATTACATTAGCACACCATAATTATTAAAAACAATTACATAGGCTAAAACAATAGGAGGAGCATTCCCGAAAGTAATCACCAAGCCGAAGACCTTCTAATCAGCACATTTAGCCATTTGGGTAGGTAGACTTATGATTGCATTGTGTGCTAACGGATGACTGATCAGACGGTTTCCTAAGTACTGTAACATTGTTCGAACGATAAACTTTCCGTATACAAGTATGACAATACTTTGATTACTGAAATTAAAAGCTTTGAATCACTCTAAACTAATTTCCACAAAACTTAACAAACTATAATTTCAATCACAGCAAGTTTTAGCTCCCTAAGTAAGTAATTCAGCACACTACATAATTTTCATTTCACCAACATAAATATCACAATAATATAACCAATCAACCAATACAAACAATATAAAACACTCAATTTCACAGAAAAAAATCTATCCCAGAATTTCAAACTTGAAGATTCGCAAGTTCATATCAAAACCCAGAAAAACAGATTGAAAAAAATCTAGAAAATGTAGAAAACATACTTTCGCTTCTTCCTCCAAGCCTTCTTCTTGCCACCAGTGGCACGCCTCTTGTGCATAGAATCACGAGAAATACCTAAAAACAAAAACCCCAAATCAATAAAACCCAACAATTATCAAAACCAAATTGAACCGCCATTAGAGTAAAACTTGAAGAAAATCAATGAATCGAAATGGATGATAATGGAGGAGGGAGAAAGTGAGAATAATTACCCATATTTTCGGTGATGAGAGGACAGAGAAACTAGGGTTTCTGCACTTTCGCCTGAAGAGATTGGGGGGAAGGGGAGGGGCAGTGAGAGGGTGAAGAAGAGAAGAGTGAGATAAACCCTACTTGCAACGTTTTAATGGGCTACTTTTTGGGTTTTTGTTTGGGCTTAAGATTTAGATGCTAGTAAAATTTGTTATGAACGGATCCGACCCGAAAACCATATCGAAAATTTTTGGAGTAGATTAGCATAATTTTTCAGCCCTTACCTGAATATCCCGAAGGTGAATGCCTGAATGGGTAAGGGTTAACAACTATTCCCTTTACTAGATTAGCACTCATGCGATGCACGAATTAAAATAAAAAAATTTAATACAATATAAAATAATTAATTCACAATTGTGGATTTTTGGAAAGAAAAATATCACTAATACGCTTTTGGTTAATTGATGTTTACCGTTTAGTTATTTATTAAAAATTATTTTCCTAACACTTTGTTTGGATCGAAAGAAATGGAAGGAAAAGAAGAGAAGAGAAATGGAGGGGGACAAAATCTCTTGTTTGGGTAAAAAATTGGGGGAAGGAAGGGGAAGGAGAGGGAGGGATCCATTTTCCCTTTCTCTATAATAACCATAATCTCACCAAAATTGGAGAGATTTGGAGGGAAAATGGAGCTCACCTCCCCCTCCCTTTCTTTTCCTTTCCCTTCCTCCATTTTCCCTCCCCTTCTTTTCCTTCCTTCTTTGCTATCCAAACAAAGCGTAATATTGAATTTAAAAGGAGAAAAATATGATAAAAATGATGTCATAAGCAATTTTATAGGGAAATTTTTTCATGAGAAATTGACATGTGTACCGACGTAATGTAAGCGGTTTTATTTTAGTTATAGTTATACATGTTTAAATAAATGAAACGGTCTGACTTGCTGCGCTATTTATCAGCAATATTTGTCAAAAATGAGTGCTCTCTATTATGTGCAACAATTTTTTTCTTTCCTTTTTTAGCAAATTTTAAAGAGTAAAAAGACTAATTTACCCTTATTAATTTGTTTTAATTTTGTTTAACATGTTTTAATTATCATCAATTATAACCTAATTATCTACCACATTATAATGATTCCCACCAAAATTAAAACCCCTCCAACTCTCTCACATCCACACCCACTCATCTCCCAACCAACTCATTCAATGTTCTTCATTGAATTTGCCTCGATTGTGTTGCCCAAGATGAATATTTCTAGATTTCTCTAGAAGTTCATTAAAAACCCTCCCCCCTCTTTCATTTTCCACCTTTTATCTCCTGTTCTTTCGTCTGCGAAACCCTAATTTCAATTTCTTCTTCTCTCTCTAGAAAAATGACTAGTAACCCAGATCCAAATAAGTCCCCAAAAAACCATAACCCTAATGATTAACCACGGTGCAACTATGTACAAGTTGCAGTGAGGAAGTGGTGTTCTCAAACATGTTCGTCGGTGCACTGCTTTTTTCCATCGTTACACTCGAGGAAAAATCGGAGCCAAACTCGCTGAGTACACTTCCAATGATGATGAACAGAAGATCTAGCGATGTAGACGGTGAAGTGGCTCCTAATCTGACTACACATGGCGCAAATATAGCTTTAAAGGAGGCTGGGAAGGGTCAAGTGGGTCCCGATCTGATTGTGGTGGAAGAGGGCCCATTGAATGATCTTGTTGCGGTGGCTGACTATTATTATGAGTCAGATATTGTTGAGGTTGATGTACCTCAGCCTTCTATAGAGGTCGTAGTGATTCTTGACTTCCCGGTGGCTGGGGGGAAGGGTTTTACCTGCGTCCCTCACTACTGCTCCTACTAGTCTAGCTCCTCTCCTAGGAAGAAAAGGGTGAGATCTATTTTTATTGAGGAATACAGCAACTGGGACCCTTGTTACATGTCATATCTTAGGGACAAATACCCTAATGACTTCCCTTCCAACCACTGACCTGGCAGCGTAACTATTTCTAAACCCTAATTTTGATTAAATTTGTTTAATTGTTGTTGGATTGTGTTGGAATGGGTTTAAGAACCCTGTTTGATTATGTTGGATGGTTCATTGAGTCCCATATTGGATTTTTTGTTAATGTTCACTTATGTATATGATGCTTATATATGATGGTTTATGCTTGTGTATGCTGGTGTATGCTGCTGGTTTATGATGTGCATATGAAGTAGATTTTTGCTACTACTTTATGCTCTGTATATGATGATGGTTTGTCCTCTGTATACCCTGTTGGTTTATGCTTCTGGTTTAAGTCCCTTATTGGATTATGATGTTAGATGCTTGTTTGACTACCTTGTTAGATTATACTTGTTAATGGCCAAGGGAATGCATGTTCGATGTATGATGAGGCATGTGAAGGTGCCTTACCAGTCCCATTATAATGTTGCCTTGTAGTTCTTGCATGTCAGTGCTTGTAGATAATTGTATGAGTCCCTCAACATGGGTTATCTGTGTGTACATATTCCAAATGATGAAGGGACTCACTTTGAGTTGGATGTGTAGGATGGTTTTGCTCCAACAAGTGCATTTTAAACTTGTTGTTGAGATAACAACGAACCTACAACATCTAAGTGAAACTAAAGTACCTTCTCTGATGGAATTCATTTTGAAGCTGCATTTCCAAAAGACATTCATTTCACCACAAAAACTTACATGTTTATAGTCTCTTACCCTATCATTCATTACATGGCTGCTAAAAAATATGCTTGGTTATCTACCAAAATACACATAACCAAACCATAATAAATATCAACAAAAAATAGTAGCTTAATTTGACCAAAAAGCATTTTCCAGTACTTGTTGGGCTATGTGTGGCAATCATATAGTCATTGAATGATGGTCTCGAATGAGTCCCTAGTCTGCATCCACCTTCATCTGATTGTAGTCTGCATGCTCTTGATGAGCTGGAATGAAAAGTGTGTTGAGGTGATCAACTGCTTGTTAAATGAGTCCCCTTTCAATTTCCAAAACCTCAGATAGCTGACCTAGGTGGTCCAACCTTTTTTTGCCCATATATATGTGGTGGATTGAAGTTGTTGCCCCCTTGTTTTTCTAAAATCTTCATCATTACTCCTTGCAAAGTGATCCATGTATACTTGTTCAGTATGGGATCAAACCATTCATAAGCCTCATACACTTTCTCTATTAGTTCATCTATTATCTTGGGAAATGATTGGTACTGTAGAGACTGAATGACCTTGAACAGACCAAGGTCTAGAACATTCAGATCTGGAGACCGTGCTAGCTGAAATACCATTTGTATGTTGAACCATCAGATGTACAGGCTATAATGCATTCCTCATCCCTGGGAATTTGATGAGGTCTTGTATTGTCCCATTGAATGAATATGACTTTAGTAATACTTGGATGCCATTGCCATTTAATTACTGGAATTATGTTGTCCATGAGCATTTTCCTGATTTCTTCTTTGGTCACACTCTGCACAGCCTTTGTCTCCATGACCCCTGCATCTATGTTCTTGATTTTTTTTTTCTTAGCCCTTTGCTTGTAAGTAAATGGGAAGATACCATACTTCCCATCATGTAGCATTAGCCTATCATTGTTATGCAAGGGCTTACCAAACATCTCCATGAACATAGCTTTAATTTTGTATCTCTTGGACTATTGACATCTATAGGGGTTTTCCACCTTTGGTAAGAGGTAGAATCTCCTTGTTTAAGGGTTCATATCGAACCATTTCTGATTTATGTGTATGCACTATTGCGTATCCATGAAAGTTGGATCACCAACTGCTGGAATAGGGTGAATATGCTCTAGTGCCCACTTCATCCTAACCACTTTATAATTTGATGTTAATGTTGGATGGTTGGCTGCTCTATGTGTTCTTAGTCTGCATTTTTTCTTCAAATTATGGACAAACCCATGAGACACCTTTAATGTAGCTGCATAACTCCTTTCAGTTGTCCTTTTGTATAAAGGCACTGACTGCAAGAACTCATCAGATATGTAACTGGGTTTTGGACCAGTTTCCTAGTTTTTTGCTTCTTACATCAATAACATTCCCTTGTGCTATGCTTATATTAACAAACTGCCACACCCTAAGTGATGTGCTTCCGTGGATGCCATATTTTCTTGTCATTTCTGACAGAATCCCTCTTGTTAATTCCCTACCTTGCATGTTAATTGCTTCCTACTTGTTGCATGTGGCTGTGCTTCTTCTTCCTATTCACTGCTGCCCCCCTCTAAAACTTCATCCATGATGTCATCACCACTATTGTGTTGAACTGGTCCCTCATTTAGTAGTTGGTCAATACCAAAAAAATCCTGATCAAAATATTGTTCCATGTGTTTTCGTTGCTGTTTTTTTCCAGATGTGATAGATGGTGATGAAGTTTTTTGTGGATGCTGCAGTTTTTTGTGAAGTGTTGCTGAAGCTGGACCCTAATGCTGCCCTTTGTAAGGAGGGAGATCCCATCATAAGGGGGTACTTCCTTAGATGCCCATGGTCATTTAAAAGCCTAGGACTTTACACTTGTTAGGGTGTATTAGGATTTGAATTCCTGACTGTTTGGGGGACCTTGAATTAGAATTGATCTTGTCATCACGCTTTTTTATAAGAAACAAGTAGGGAGTCGCCAATGAGTTTTAGGAAAACTCATAAACCTCGTTCATGCCTTTCACCCATGTGGAGTTCATGCGATAATTAGCATGAATCGTAAGTTTACCCATGCCCAAATTGGTCTACATAAACCAGAAATGAGTTCGGGAGCGAGGGTACTAAAATAACGTTCCTTTTAGGGAGGAATTGATATTCTAGCCCTAGTGTGGCCTCTACTAGTTCTTCCTTTTTTCACAATTTCATCACCAAAATAATATATACAACGCGATACCTAAAACTAAGGGCTTGTTTGACATCATTTTTTGTTTTTAGTTTCCTGTTTTTTTGAAAACTAAAAACCAAAAACAGGAAACAAGAAAAAGGTGTTTCCACTTTTTTGTTGTCAGTTTTCAAAATTATCATGATTTTAATAAGTCTAAATATTTTTTGATTCATTATTTGACATATATAATATACTTTTAAAAAACAAAAAACTAAAAAACAGAAAACCACAACAATGCCAAACGAACCCTAAGTTAGTTGATTTTATTTACATGCATTAATCATGTAGGAATTACATTGCAAAAGTCGTTATTCTTATTTAATCAATATTCGTGAAAGAACAATAAATAAACAATATTCGCCTTGTATTAAGTGATAAAACAATAATTAATTATCAAATTCTATTCTTGATTAACAAAAGAATACTATGTGAATTAATTAATTAAAATTTTATTTTAAGTGATCAAACAACACTATTCATTCAATTAAAGTTATTTAAACAATAAAAGAAAAGTGATTTATCTAAGTGCTCAGGAAACTAACTGTTCTTCTTTTATGTTAAATCTCCGTTTAATATGTTTATGGACTTTCTTTCTTCTTCGTACCTTCAAGAACTTCAATGGATGGATTAGGGTTGAAGAGTAGTTGGGAAGAAAGAGGGAAAAGTAGTATGATAGTAAGAGAAGTTCAGAGATTAGGGTTTTGAGAATACTAGGTTTTTAATTCTGAATTTTCGGTGCTCATAATGCTAAACAAAGACTCCTATTTATAGGCGTAGGGATCTAGGTTTAGGGTTTTAGAGCCACACCGTTAGGTGGAGCGCGCAACTCTCTGAGTCACGCTGGGTGTCGCGCGCATCTCAATGAGTCGCGCGCGCCAGGCGCGCACAACTGATTGAGTTGCGCTGGTTTGTGGTTTGCCTTATACGGAAGCACGTTTTTAAAACTTCCATAACTTTTGATTGCAGAGTCGAATTAAGACGTGTAAGATATAATTGGAAATCTCTAAATGTCTACTTTCTAATTCCGTTAAAATTAGGTTAAAATATTTTATGGGTCAAAAGTTATGGCCGTTGGAGTGCAAGGGTGTCGGTTTTGGGCCCGGTTTAGTGTTTTGATCATAACTTCTTCGTTTTGCCTCGGAATTGGGCTTATAATATACCGTTGGAAAGATCTTTAAAAGGGAAATCCATTTTTATAGTCCTTGCATGGGAATTTGATAGTTGGTTTATTTGTTTGACTCGGTTTTCAACAATGTAGGTTCCATTGGATCCAATTATTGCATTTGACGCATTTGGGTCCGTTATTAATCAAGTTTAAACATGTATGAACACGATTTAGGCCTAATTAGTAATTGGAAAAGGCTATAAGATAACTTGGTCTCAAATATGGGTTTTAACTTACTTCATAATGCTTTTCATAGTCCATAAATATTTCAACTTTGATCTAACATGAAGAACGGATTTTTGTAACATCATCGCACTTCCTTTCGGGACAAGAAGTCCTTACTTACCTCAGGAAATTGATTTTCAATTTCTTTCAATTGAATATCAATGACACTTATAAAAACTTCAACTCAAAAATGATGAAGATTTGTCACTTGTGGGCTCTTACCTCTAAACATCCTTCTCCCCGGAACAACATATTTAGCCTCCATGTTTGGAATCTCAAGTTCATATTTAGCCATAAAAGAAGTGACTTTTTCCATAATCAAATCAAATCCTTCATCTCTCAACTGTTGCAAATTAGCCTTGGTTACATCAACCATGGCCATTGCATTCACAATGTCTTGATCATGTTTTTGCAAGGCCTCATTCAACTCCTTTGCAATCGCAAATATATCAACCATCAAGTGTGCCACAAACACAAAATCAAATGACATCAACAAATGTGTAATAGCTTGTGCTTTATTTGAATCAAGTGTATCAGACACTTCTGCAATGGAATCAAGGGAAAGAAGGATGGAAGAATATAAGTCAAGCACATCTAAGATCAACTTGAAGTGAGATCCCCAACGAGTGTCACAAGGTCTACCCAAATCTTGTTCTTGATTTAATCCTGTTCCTGTTTCAAATTCACCCAAAGACAATGCTTCTACAACATGTTGACGTTGTTTTTCTCTAAGAAATTATTTCCTCTTCGGTGAAACTCCAACAAATTCAAAATAGGTGCAAGTACATCAACAAAAAGCCACCCACAATCCGAATTCTTTTTAGCAAGTGCAAATTGTGTCAATTGAAATTGATGTGCAAAACAATGCACAAAGTAAGCTTGTTTGCATTCATTCAATATCAAAGTTTTGAGGCCATTAATTTAACCTTGCATATTACTAGCACCATCATAACCTTGACCTTGTACTCGAGAGAAAGTTAAAGAGTGCTCCATAAGTATAGACTCAATAGCATTTTTCAAGGTCAAAGAAGTGGTGTTAGGAACATGCACAACACAAAGAAATTGTTTACATACCTCTCCCATTTTGTTAACATATCTCAAGCAAAAAGCCATTTGTTCTTTATCGGTAACTTCTGTTGAATCATCGGCAAGGATGGCAAAAAATCCATCACCAAGCTCTTCAAGAATTACCTTAGTTATTTCTTTTGCACAAGCATTGATGATATCTTTCTGGATTGGAGGAGAAGTCAGTTGACAATTACCCGGAGCATTTTTTAAAACAACTTTCGAGTAGTCAAGATCATGCTTTGAAAGAAGTGACAATAGAGAAATGAAGTTACCTCTATTCAATGAAGTTTCTTTTTCATCATGGCCATGAAAAGGCAACCCTTGAAGTAGGAGAGTAGTTTCAACTGAAGCTTCTAACCGCTTTCGATATGCATTCATTGCTTCTTGTGATTGTTTGGACAATGCGGTTGTAATAGAAGCCTTTTGATTGACAAATGAATCCATATCAACAACCGCAATGTTGTGCGCACTCATGTGTCCACCAACATGTTTTGCAAATGCTTCCGTTCTATTCCAAGCCTTAAATCCCTCATTAACAAAAGTATCGCCTCCAGATGCATTGTCTTTCTTGAATAAGTAACAAATAAAACAAAAAGCTGCATCCTTCTCAGCACTATACTCAAGCCATGCATGTCCGCCAAGTATCAAACCATTTTTTGTTGAAGCGACGCAATTTTGGCCCAAAAGGTGTTTGAGGAAATACAAAATCTTCGGGTTGACAAGGTTTTTGTTGAATGTATGTTTTTCTAACCAAATCCCTATCATCCGGATGAAAATCACTTATCTTTCTCCTTTTTTCGGGATCTTGTGGAAGATTAACAATATCAGAAGTACTTAATCTTCCTTCATGAATTGGAGCTTCAGTTTTAGGATTTGAACTAGCTCCATGACAAGTTCCCTCCTCTTGATTTTCAGGAAAGTTGTGTGATGGAGAAGAATTTTGTTCACTTGTTGATGTGGAAGAGGAATTTGTTCATTTTCTTGAGGTGGAGGAGGATTTTGTAGAGATTCTTGTGGTAGATGGAGATATTGATTACTTTCTTGTGGTGGAGGGGGATTTTGTTGTTGAGAAAGAGAAGGATTTGAAGTAGAAGATCTTTTGGTAAAGAAACTTGAAATATCCCTTGTATTTTTTTCTCTTCATTCTGAAATTTATATTATATGTCTAATTAGATAATTTTAAACCAAAATTTTCATATAAACCAACAACATACTGTAGGGAATAGATTTCAAGCGTTAACCCCTGGCTTGAACCCCACTGTGATCATACACTAAACTACGGTGGCGTCCAAAAGGGAAGAAAATAGAGCAAAAGAGTCGCCAACAAGTTTTAGGAACTTGTAAACCGTTCATAGGATGAAGGTTACACCCCTTAACGATCCAAGATATCGTCAACTCCATAAGGTCTAGAACCAAATAAGGGTTCGGGGATGAAGGTACAAATCCAACCTAAAAGAGATTGAACCTGCCCTAATAATAGGCCTCTACTTTATTCTGATCGTATTCATGTGCGCTTTTTAATTAACATGCAATCAATAGGATTAACCCTAAACCTGTTTATCTATGTTGGTTGAATTTAATGCACAAATAAATCTATTATTGGCGATCACTTGAAATTATAATCAAAGTTAACCTAACAGGATTATTAATTATCTTATTAAGCGTGATTACAAGTACAAATTCCCTTTAAACATGCATAAAAGGCGTGATCAAGCAATAAATATAAATATCAAGCAACATAATAATAATAAATATCATGAATAATAATTATAATAATCATAATAATATAAAATAAATAATCATCATCAAAATAATAATAATAATAATAATACTCATAATCATCATGAATTATAATAATTATGTTCATGTTAATTATTAAAGCATAATAATAGCAAGATCCTAGGCATGATACTAACAATATTAATAACAAACCCTAGCATGTCACTAATAAATAAAAATCAAATATTTAACCTTAACATGATACTAACAATCATAAATATTAGGAAGAACATAGGAAGCATCGTTACAATCATATTTAATATTAAAATTACCCTAGACATGATACTAGGAATATCATAATAACAATATGAACATGATGTCTACATCATAACATCAATTAAAACCAATAAAGCACTTACTTTGATGTCTCGTACCTCTTTCTAATTACAAAATACACACGTTAGTATCTTCAAGGAAAATAATAATCAAACAATTAAATCAAATAATTGAAATATAGATTTGGGACCAAACCCTCAGAAATTAAACCTTTCACGTCTAGGGCGAAGGCAACTTCGAATATGGCTAGGTGTTTCTAGATCTTGCGAATGCGGAATTTTGTATTTGAAATCAAAGTTTAGAAAAAAGAAAGAAAGAAAGATGAATGAATTAATTCAATGAAAACTGATTGTAGGCGAATGCTAATTAAAACTGATTGTTGATGATAACTCGTGAATGATGAGAATTGGTGAATGAAAACAGAGTTTTTAATATGTTATTTATAAAGAAAATCAGCCAAAAAGATAAAATAAACAAAACAGAGTCTGACGCACAAAAAACAGAGCTGGCGCAAACCCTGGCTAACTGGCGCCAGGCGCCAGGCCTGGTTCCAGGCGCCAATGCTTGGAGTCAGGCGCCAAGCCTATTTATAACGCGTTTTCGAAAATCAGATAAGTTTGCCGTAGTGGAGGATAAAATCATATAATTTCCTCGAAAATACTATTTGATTTTAATTAAAACTCTGAAAAGTCAACAAAAGTCAATTTATCAATGCTAATTGAATTAGGAATGAAAAGAACCTTCTAGAAGAATCTAGAAGACTAAAACCATTCCTAATTGCATTAGGAATGATAAATCATATTAGGCCCTCCCCTAAATCATTGGGCCGCATATAAGGCTCAAACCGAGCCCAGTTTAGTAAATTGGCCATAACTTCCTCAATATTCATCGGAATTGAGCTTATAATATATCGTTGGAAAGCTCCTGTCAAGACCCATCCAACTACACTACTATTGGACCCATATCATGGACCAACCAAACTGGATTGGCTGTTTTCTTAAAATAAGTTTTCAAAAACAGAAAGAAGAGAAAAGAAATTAAAACTTTCCGCAACACTAGACTTTCCACACTTTCGCTTCATTCGATTATGATTCGACGTGAAAGGTACTCATCACTGGGTTTGGTTTTGGGGAGACACATTTGGGTGTCTACACATACTTATAAATTTAAACATAAATACTAAACTTAAAATTAATCAACTCAAGAAATATTTCATAGCCTATTACTCTTAATTTTAGGCAACAAATGTGTGAATAACATAATAACTCAAGAAGAACAACAAACAAAAAAAATCATAATTCACACAAATTGACACATTCACACATAATGGACTTACAATTTACACAATTAACAATCTTAATAGCCCTTAATATATTAAAATTATGCAATTAATTGAAAATTAATACTGTAGGGAATATTTCAAGCATTACCCCAAACTTGAACCCCACTGTGATCATACACTAAAGTACGGTGGCGTCCAAATGGAAGGAAGCTAGAGCAAAAGAGTCGCCAACAAGTTTTAGGAACTTGTAAAACGTTCATAGGGTGAAGGTTACACCCCTTAACGATCTAGGAGATCGTTAACTCCAATAGGTCTGGAACCATACTGGTGTTCGGGGATGAAGGTACAAATCCCACCTAAAAGAGATTGAACCTGCCCTAATAATAGGTCTCTACTTTATTCTGATCGTATTCATGTGCGATTTCTGACTAACATGCAATCAATAGGATTACCCTAAACCTGTTTATCTATGTTGGTTGAATATTAATGCACAAATAAACTATTCTGGCGATCACTTGAATTATAATCATATTAACCCTAAACAAGATTATCAATTATCTTATTAAGCGTGATTACAAGTACAAATTCCCTTTAAACATGCATAAAAGGCGTGATCAAGCAATAACAATAAATATCAATCAACATAATAATAATAATTATTATAATCATAATAATAATATTAAAATAATCATCACAACAACAATAATCATGTTAAAGCATAATAATAGCAAGATCCTAGGCATGATACTAACAATATTAATAACAAACTCTAGCATGTCACTAAACAATAAAGATTAAAGCTTTAACCCTAACATGATACTAACATGCTATTAGGAAAGAAAATAGGAAGCATCATAGAAATCATAATTGATATAAGCAAATCACCCTAAATATCATACTAAATAAAGCATCCTAACATGATACTAGGAACATCCTAAACATGATACTAGGAATCAATAAAAAATCCTAACATGATACTAGGAATCAAAATAACAATCTAAGCATGATTTCTATATCATAAAATCAATAAATCAATTAAAGCACTTACTTGGATGCCTCGTATCTCTTTCTAATAACAAAATACCCACGTTAGTAACTTCAAGGAAAATAATAAACAAACAATTAAATTAAATAATTGAAATAGAGATTTGGGACCAAGCCCTCAGGAATATCAAACCTTTCACGTCTAGGGCAAAGGCAACTTTGAATTATGCTAGGTGTTTCTTGGTCTTGTGAATGTGGAATTTTGTTTGAGAGAAGGCTAGTTTAGAAAAGAGAAAAAGAGAACAAGCTTTAGCTTAGAGAGAGAAGAGAATTAGAGAGTTGTTAGAGAGAATTGATAGTTGTTGATGATTGAAAAAGGGGAGATATTACCTCTATTTATAGAGAAAAGAGGGACGAAGAATAAGAAGAGAATCCGAATTCGAATCGAAATAGAACTCGATGGACAACAGTTTTTGCGGATTTTGTTTTTATCATATCTTTTTATCTAGAAGTCCAAATAAGGCTGTAATACGTCGTTGGAAAGCTCTTGAAGTCTACTTTCCAACCCAATTAAAATCTTTTTTAGATAATAAGATATGGCCAAAATAGTGGAAGGTTGTCAGTTTTGGATAGAGTTTCATGTCTAATTCATATCTTTTTCGTTATAGCTCGGATTTAATATTATAATATATCATTGGAAAGATAATTTCAAGATCTATCCCACCATGTAAAATTTGGATAAATATTATGAGGCACGAAAATAATATCTGACTGTTTTTTAACATCTTTAAATTCGAATATAATTAGGATTTAAGAAAAAAGAAAGTTTTAAAAAAGGAAAGTTTTTATTTAACTCAAATTCTTTAATCTTATCTTTTCAAAAAGGATAATTAAGATCTTTTAAAAACTTATGGAAGGTTCTAATTAATCCTAATTAGTCTAGGAATAGGATTAGACTTTTGGACCATCCACATGATCATTGGGTCGTAGGTAAAATCCGGTTTGGGCCTAGTTTAGTATTTTGGCCATAACTTCTTCCTCATTATTCATCGGAATTGGGCATATAATATATCGTTGGAAAGGTCCTTTCAAGCCCTATACAACTACACTGTTATTGGACCCTTATCATGGACCAAACTAAATTGGAATGCACGTTTTTCATAAATAAGGTAAGAAAAGAAATATTTTCAAAAACAGAAAGAAGAGATATATTAATAAAAACATCCTCATCACTAGACTTTTCACACTTTCTCTTTGTTCGATAATCAAATGACATGAAAGGTATTCATCACTGGGTTTGGTTTTCGGGAGACATATTTGGGTGTCTACAGAAGCCCCCACTTTGACTGAGTTTGGAGAAACGCAAGTTTCGAAAACGAAAGTCAAAGTATCGATAGGGACGGAGAATGATTCAGAACGTTATGCGATTCAAAATCATTCTTGT